TCTCTCTCTCTCTCTCTCTCTCTCTCTCTCTCTCTCTCTCTCTCGCTCGATCACTCTCGAAATGTGCAAAACGAGAGTGAATCGTCCGCTAGAACATGGAAAGATACACTGCCATGATTACTGTCTTTTGTGCTGTCCACAGAGAGAGACGGGAATGACTCTTCCCGCTATCACGGGAAGATGCATGCCCGTCTCTGAGCTCTCTCTCTCTCTCTCGCGCGCGTGAGCCCGTTCGTTTTTGTTCTTTTTAATTTTTGTGTTTATTAGTATTATTTTTTCTTTCTTTCTTGGTTTCCTCTGTAGTGTTGTCCCTACAGAACCGGGGCCCATCCTTCAGGCAGCGACCGGGCCTTCCCTTGGCCGACCCCCGAAGCGACCGGGAAAGGCCCGTGGCCTATAGCTGGGCCAAGTACTGGTGGCTTGATGAAGCCGTGATGTTTCGACTTGAATGCAATTCTACCAGCGTCCCAGGCCCCGTCATGGCTTTTTTTGGCCCCCCACTGTAAGAAGTACTGCTGCTGTAACTTTTTTTGGGCCCTGACTTTTGGAAATACTGGTGGTTCTTTTTGTGCAGCTACTGGCAAAATGCCCAGTTGTTGCGTCAGCTGGCCCCCCCCACCTTTGGCCCCAATGTACTTCCTGACCACCACCGATTAGGGCTGGGGGCAACATGCACCACCAGTACTTGAGCCATACATCGGCCGAGGCGTTCCCTGTATATGGATCGGGGCTCAAGTGGTTCACCGAAGCGACGAGACCAAACAAAATCAATGTTGCAAACGCCTCTCCAGGCATGCAGCAAGACATGCTGGACACGAAGTGGTATTGTTTGCCAGGACACGAAGTGGTATTGTTTGCCATTGATCTTCAGGGTCAGTAGGGGAACATTCTGTAAGTTGAAGAAGGCTCTTTGTGAAAACAGCTGGAGATATCATAAGTGAGAATGCTGACACGAGTAACAAAAAATCAGGTGAAAAACATGATCGCCGAAAGTTCAAGGGTTTCTGCAGTCAGTCAATCTACATAGAGTGAATTGGTTCCTAAGGAAACTAAGCTAGCGCTACTGAACAAAACAAAATTGGATGATTGGACAGGGCCTCCATTTCGGGAAAAAAACTTCTAGAATCAATTGTAGACTGAACCGTACCCCAAACCGACACAGTTGACCAAGTAGAGTATACTAAGGCGCTTGACATCGCCATGTTGAAGGAACTCGGCAAAATGACTCCGGAACTTCGGGAGGAGTGCTTTTCTTTGCAAAAACAAACAAAAGTCGCACATAACAAGGGGTAGCGACTGTCCATCACGTGTGTGTGTGTTCGGGGGGGTGTGGTGTGTCAGTGCAGGCCATGGCCATAGGCGCTGCTGTTACTCATGGGGATGGGGGAAATAGATGGGAGGCACAGCTACTGGCAAGGTGCTCAGTCCTTGCATCAGTATTGGTAGGGTCTTTGGCCATCACATGTGTGTGTTGGGAGGGGGGGTGAGTGCAGGCCATGGCCATGGACGCTGCTGTTACTCGATGGAGATGGGGGAAATAAATGGGAGGCGCAGCTACTGGCAAGGTGCTCGGTCTTTGCGTCAGTATTGGTAGGGTCTTTAGCCATCACATGTGTGTGTGATAGACGCTGCTGCTACTCGATGGGGATGGGGGAAATAGATGGGAGGCGCAGCTACTGGCAAAGTGCTCGGGCTTTGCGTTAGCCGACCTCCCGCACTGGTGGCCCCACCCTACTCCCTGAGCACTGCCGATTAGGGCAGTGGGCAACATGCATCCCCTTGATTGTGAGAGATAGCTATGCTTGCAGGGGTCCCCTGAATAGGCTAGTGGTAGGTAGGTAGTGAGAGGTGAAACTGAGAGAAGAATATAGCTTAGTTTTTGAAAAAAAAGAAAAAAGAGA